TCGGAACATTCTTCAATCTGAAAGAAAAATAAAAATGCATTAGTTAGGTGAAGGAAGACTGGCACCTAAGGTCCTGTAAAGATGATCAATAACAAAAAGGGATTCTGCCTCACTCAAAAAAGCAATCGAAGTCGTTTTGTAGGCCTGAAAAGGTCCTACTCTGTGCGCATGTACGGAAGCGAGGCCAGGTTACGCTAACCTTCCAATACCTTACCATTGTTGGTGCAGAAAGGTTTTAAGGTAAAATTAAAATTGCATTTTTGTCAAAGGCCGAGGGTAAATATAACGGGACAGTGGGCTAAGTGACGAAACAATGAACTTGAAATTCACAGAATCCTACATAAGAAAAGTATGCACTGCAGTTTCCCCGCTTTGAAGTGTTCATAACCCTCTTTGACGCGATTAATCCATTTCCTCTCAACTTACGCATCTGTGCTCATTGTTCCCGCCACAGAAATCTAAATGAGTACGGGTTTTAACTAATTCATTTGTCAGTCCACCTACTGAGTAAGCGATAATTACGAAAGTAACAGAGATGAATGTGCCAACTTACAATCTTGGCTGTGGGTTTCCCAAAACCATGACCAGCTTTTGTATCAATTCTGATCAGCAAAGGATTTGACTGCAAGAAAGCGATATTTTTTTGTCCTTTTGTTACAAGTATTGTACGGTCATTCGGTTTATTTACACTGTAATGCTCTGAAAACATTTGTCATTTGCGTTTCTGTTGTGACATTTTCTGATGATGAATATTACCTGCTTCTCGTAACTACCAACACAATGTTGCAATTGGGCGATGTACTTTAGAGAATGTAAGGGGACTACACGATCATCATGGTCAGCAGTTAGCAGTAGAAGTGCAGGGTACTGGGCACCACTTTCGGGAATCTTGATGTTATGAAGAGGAGAATATCTGAGATAAAACCATACCACTTCATCATTGATCAAGCGTGGAAATTGGATCAGGGCTATGTCGAGGTCCACAAAAACGCGAAAATGAACGAGACCAGTACTTAGCCATACTGGTCGAACATGCGTGGTCACTAACGGATTTATCAAAGTGCTAAAAATATCACAACGCATAAAAAATGGAAATTAAATTCACGACACTCGTCGTTGTTTCCTTGGATTAGATTGTCCTTGAGACTCCCTAATGCTGTAATTTCCACTACTGTAAAAAAGGCGTCAGTCGCGAACCGGATCAGATCTTTTGCTTCATTTTTTTCCAGCAATGAAGCTGGCCGGCCGAAATAATCAACTAACTTGTAACATAAGACACTGAGAAACATTTACTTCGGTTTGCGACATTTTGAGCCAGATTTAAACTTTCTAAAAAATGGCATGTCTTAAAGAAAAACGAGAAGGATCTTTCAATTTTTTCGATTAAACTGTAATACGGTTTGGTACTAGACACATCGCAAACAGCAATGAAGGATTTGGAGGCGAAGTATAGCCAGTTATGCAGCAAAAATCAACCAATCAGAACTTGTTCGTCGAAACATCAGTTGCTGTAACCAACTATAGCATTTTCTATGAGTCACAAACGATCATGCCGTATAACCATACTGCGCATGACTGCGTCACGCACTCTCTTTTGGATTGACAATCAGGTTGTTGTTTAAGTATTTTTTTTACGGAAGGTAGGGAGGGGGAAGGTTGTTGGCCAGCTGTAACTATTGATTTCTATACAAAAAGAGCTTGAATACCACCAAGAACAATTTTAGAGTATCTCCTCCACTGGTAAAGAAATACAGTATTATTAACAACCCACTTGATAAGCCATTTGAAATCCTCCTCCTTATCGGGTGAACCAAAGTCTGTTGTCCTTTACGAAAAATAAAAAGCAACAACAACATCAACAATAAAAAGGTAACAAAACAAACTTTTCTCTAAGAAATCTTTCATGGGCTGCGTTTAGAACCTGATCAGATTAAGAACATAAATCCTACAAAAAGATTCTCACAAGAAAACCACAAAAACGCAACAATGTAAGTGATTAAAGCATATTACCACTTACCATGCATGGCCGATGGTAAATTTATGAAACTTCAGCATGTCCATAACTCTGAGACAAGAGATGAAAGGATTTCATTTAGTTTATGCTCAAATTATGAGACAAGACCATGACAAATTCTCATAACTTACGGAACGTGTGAAACAGCGCAACCAAACAACTCTGGTCTCTGATTTATGCACGCGCCCACCAACAAGCCGCCATTGGATCCACCGACGATGGTTATTCTTTCAAAATATAAACAAATGAAAAAGCGAATAAGGAAATGAATAAATATATGAAAAGAATTCCGAAAAA